TATCAAAATATTTATAGTGGCTGTGTTTGGCTGGTGGGTTTCCTGGTAATTATTTTTTAAATACTTGAAATTCTCTCTAGTTAGAATGTACAATTTTGTGCTGAAACAAATTTTTACAACTGTAATTTCATGAAATGAAAAATATTTTTGTTCTGTATTATAAAAATTCACTCTGACTCTTCTTTTTCAACTTCAGAGAAATAACTTTTAACCTCCAGATTCTGAGGCTTTCCCTTAAATTCCATGTGATAGGAATCCAAGCCTTACTTGAGTGAAGAATTATATACCTGAAAGAAGCAGTCTCTGAGTCTCTAATTTTGCCTCCTAAAGGATTTTCAGTTTCCCAGTCTTCAAAGCACTCCCCTCCATCCTATTTGAGAATGACAAATTCTGTATTGTGCAAGTGCCGACATTAGCAACAGACGGTGTCTCTCCCCCAACCACTTGAACCTGTGTAAGTGTATCCATTTTAAAGTTCCTGAGAGTGTAAATCACGCTGAGTGCTTTGAATTGGCAGAGAATGTATCACCGTGGCTGGCAGACCAAGCGCTGCCAAGTACTGTGCCCCAGTGAAGGGAACAGAGAAAGGAAATGGAGACATTAGATAAGTTGCCCATGGTAGGGTAGTTGAAAAGGAAATATACTCAAAATTCCCCCTAAGTGATCACAACGTCCTTTAAAATTTGCAAATTACCAGATACATTCAAGTGTTTAAACTTGTTTTATCTTATGACCACTGAGTTAGCAGAATTAAAACTCAGGAACATGAACGACCGTGTGACTGACAGCAACGTTTCCCTTGAGGGTAACTCAAAGTAGGAGTAGATGTGCGTTCTGAAGATGAGGACTTTCCAATATACCTTTTCTTCACCCAGGTCCCTGAAGATCAAAGTCTTAGCATTTTTCAATAGACTGTGTCAGACCTGAATTTTAAGTATAGTGATTAATCAATTAACTAAAAGTAATTGTGCATATATGTATACAGGACACAAATACACATATTTGAACACATACGTATTTTATGTGAGGCATGTTACACACTCCTTCTAGTCAGTTTAAAGATTATGTTTAGCTTGTTAAATAGTGGAATGTGGTAGGTTATTTCCTGACCCATCATCAAATCTCTCAATTATTATCTAGTTAAACTAATTAGGAAAAACAGTATTTACTCATTTAGAAAATACAAAGCCAGCCTTTAATCTTCAAAGGAGTTTGCTGTGTTAATTTATTCTTATATTCAGGTGCGTGTTTGTTATTTTTATACTAACCTCTGAAATGTTTCCTCCACATCTCATTGTGAAGAATAAAAGACTATTTAATGCATTAACAAAGTAATATTTCTCACACAGGTGGTCTAACTTTTGACACTGATTCTTCAAGGCAACAGTGGAAGTCTCACAAAAGGCACTGGTTTGCCATCCTCTGGAATATTGAGGAGCTTATAAATGTATTTCCCTGGAGACCTCATCAGGTTATGCATTTTTGAGGAGACACCTAGCACTACCAGCAAGTCAGAGGCAGTCTCCAGCACTGCAGCTCTTCCATCTGGCCTGAGTTTTGCTGCCTCTATTTGTACATCTTCACATGAGGAGCACTCTAGGAACCAAAAACTGTTCTCTCCTTCATTATGCATGTGGCATTCGATGCAATTTACCACCTAACAGATGTCATAGCTAAGTACCCAGGATCACGTCATGATTCACTCATCTTAAGACAATCTGCTTCAGAAATGCATGGCTTTTTATAAATTGGGAGAATTTGGCTTTTGAGTAATTCTCTAAATGCTGTATGTTTATAACTTCATTTTTTTTTTCTTAAAATACAATTACAGTTTCAGATTGTTTCCAGGTTAGCTCCCTCTTTTGGGTTCCACTTTGAATATCTCTGCCACTGGAAAAATAATGAAAAGCATCAAATTTTTTACCACAATGCTTATTGAAGTAACTCTGGAGATTATCCTCAAATTGAGGTTTTGATGTCTAGGCAAATCTGGTGAAACATTATTTCTCTGCCCTTGTAAAGCAGGCAAAAAATTCCTGCCGGGTGGTATTTTACATAATATTGTCATTAAACATGGTCTATCTTTAGCGGAAGAAGCAGACGGTAATAAGTCAAATAGGGATGAAGAATGATCTGAATCGGAGGAGATACACTTGCAAATGAGAAACCGAAATTATTATTAAAGGTAGTAATATGACATCCAGATTAATAGAGTAAAAGGTTGAAAGAAATGTTTAACTATTGGGAGTAATTATCGAAGGCTTTTTCGTAAAAGAATATGTTACATCGTCTCCTATTTTGGGAGGCTGACTTTTTTATGCTGGAATAAAGAACCCGTAGATTCTTCGCCGCAGCTGTTTCGGTCTTGATTAATCTAAGTACTGGAACCATAAAAAGAAAAGTAGCTTAATTAAAAAATGTTAGAGCAGAATAGAATACATTTACAATAATTTCCCTTCCCTTTTTGGCTAAATGTGAGAAAAAAACATCATCTTTTCTTTTAAAGGGAGCAAATCAATATCGGTGCCTTTGCAATTACCCTCGAGGCACAGCGTTACACAGGCGGGTGCACAAACAAAGGAATCCTAGGTTAAAAACCATATCCCTCAGCATTAAAAAAAATAAGAGAACTATTTAAGTCTTGCTACGTTTATTTCTGTTCTCTTCCCCCAAACAAACACCATCATTGCAACTTCCAACCTTAATCCCATAAAACTGGTTCTCCCAAATGTATAGACTGTTCTTTATTACTGAATTCTGTTTTTAATCTCCCTGCAAAGGGATTCAGATTGATTTCTTTATTACCTTGAGGTGACTATGTCTCATTCGGTTGATGCCTAGATTGTTTATAAAATGAATTTATCCTGTTAATATTTACACAGCTCTTGAGAAGCATGAGGTAAAGCCCCAGCAGGAAAGTTTCCCAGTCGGGACTTCTGTGTTTTCCTCTCCTGTGAATATAAAAATTGATTTCCTATGTGCATTTGTAGGAGCCCTATGGGAGATAGTTTTCTTACAATTGTGCTGTCAATTGCTTTCAGTAAGTATCTGTAATGATAGGCTATATGGGAGAGAATACATAGTTTCAACTAGAACGGGTGAAATTTAAAATTTTGATTGTATGTTGGTAAAAGTTTCCTTTTCGATAAGTTTAAGAATATATCTGAAATTTTTCAATAGTCACAACAGGAAAAGCAACACTCTTAGGCAGAGAGTTTTGTAGAGTTAGTCATAAAGATCTATGATTCTAATAGCATTGTCTTACCTTCCCCGGCAATTATCTCCATTTCTTTAGCATATAACCCACCTAGTTCCATGGCAGTTGCTTTGCATCACGGCCAAGACAGATTACAACCCAGACATAATTTATTTTTCAGTGAGAATTTCCCACAAAAAATTGAATTATTTATTATCTTCAATTCTGCCGTGTTTGGTTTAATTTTAAAGGAGTTTTTACTACTCCATGTGAAAATAATAAAGCATTTTTAATAATGCCCAATAATACTGTATACAGAATAAGACCAAGCACCACCCACTGCTTAGCTCCCTGGAGTCCATATTAAAAGCTACGCAAAACATACCACACAAAATTAAGGGAAGGAATGGGACCCAACTGGACTGAACAATAGGAGACTATTTTATTTCTCTGGCTTAAGTACATGATGGGGATATAAAGTTATCCATACTCCTTATATAAAATTGAAAATAATACTTTACTTTGCAGATCCTTCAGGAATTGATAGAAGAAACAATTTGGTTAAAGCATTTTCTAATTCGTGTTCTTCTGGCTAAATGCAGATCTATAAACTGAATACGTTTGAAAGAGAAATTCCTTTTTATTGTTTTTAGAAACATGAAGGAAACCTCAATCTTTTTTCATCTGGGATCAGTTTATAGATTCTCTGTTTCTTCTATGTAGAAAATATGCCTGTTATCCTGTTGGCTCCTTTGGAAGAAGGAGCTTATTGGTGTGAACAAAAGTACCTAAGAGGACTCAGTTGTCAAGTTGTCCTGAGTTGCCCTTGAATTATTGAAAAAGTGAGAGACCTGATTTCAGGAACCTAGACAGTAAGCTATCTTTTAAGGGCATATCTTGTTCAAAACGGGCAACAAAGAGTAGCTGCACTGGAGGTACCGCTGAGGGAGAAGAATCTATAACCCCCGCCAAGTTATATCTAGCAAAAGACTTGGCTAGGGAGAAGCAATACATATGAGGTTTATTCAATCCACCCTTTCCATTAGATTGGGAGGTCTCTAGTCTCAAATTCACATTCCTTCAGAGGACAGGCAAGTAACGTAAGAAAGTGAAGGAGAGCGGGTGAGGCTTGCATGTTTGGGATTAAAATTTGAGTTTCTAAGGAAAACAAACAGGAAATGAACACATTTGTTTTGGTATGAATGCACATGCCAGACACATACACAACTATCTGGCTCTATTGATCGCCCCAAAATGTAGCAAATCCCAGCTGGTTCGCTTACTAGCTGTTGTGACAGAGCAAGTTCCTTAAACTCTCTGTGCTTCAGTTTCCTTGTCTGGAAAATGGGAATTATAACAGTACCTACCTCACAGGATTACTATGAGGAATAAACAAGTCGATACACTTAAAGTGCTTCAAACACTACCTGGCATATACCAAGGGCCATACAAGTATTTACTGTTAAGCATGTTTGTTCTGTGCTTCTTTCTCAATTTTTTCTCTGTCCTTATACACACACAACACACATATACACACATACTTACAAATCTACTCATTCATAAAAGTATTTTTAAAATTGGATTTGGAGGGGGCCTGGCCCAGTGGTGTAGTGGTTAAGTTTGCACGCTCTGCTTCTGTGACCTGGGGTTTGGATCCTGGGCATGGACCCACACACAGCTCATCAAGCCATGCTGTGGTGATGTCCCATATATAAAGCAGAAGACTGGCACAGATGTTGGCTCAGGGACAATCTTCCTCAAGCAAAAAGAGGAAGATTGGCAACAAGTGCTAGTTCAGGGTCAATCGTCCTCACCAAAATAAATAAATAAATAAATAAATAAATAAATAAATAAAATGTGGATATGGAGGATAATAGAGAAGCTCCAAACACTGGATAATTTATATTTGCCCCTCAAGAACCCCTCTTTACCCTCCATCACCCTTTTCTGTCTTTTCTGTGTCCCAGGAGGCTGATCTCTACAAATGGCTCACATGCCTTCTGGCTTACAGTCAAGTTTGCTTAAAGGGAGTCACCCACTGCAGATCAGGGAGAGTAAAGAGAATGAGGTCAAGGTGTTTATTTCCCTGCCTCCTCCTTGTTGGAATGTTGCTGGTTGGCTGGTTCCTCTGCTGAAAGCCATAGCCCCTTTCATGGTCGCCTCAATTACGGCTCCTCTCTCTCTCTTGTCCTTTTAGGCCTAGGAAGTGACAATTCCTACTTGTTAGCCCTGCTGTGTTTAATCATACCTTAATGTGCATGCTCACATTTGTTAATAACTTTTCTCAATAAGTGTGTTTGATTGTGTCATCACTTTCTTGCCCGGACCCTAACTGATATAGGCTCTTATTTGAAATGATTTAATATCTTCTTAATATCTTTCCCTAAGTCCTGCTAAAATGGTAGAAGACTTAGTAAAATGATGATGAATCCATAGAAAGCCCGGGTATCCAATGCGGGTGACAGCAGCAGAAAATAAAACAAGTAAATTCCACACTGACAGTGAAAATCAGCTGAACTGAGGACCATGCCTCCTACACAGGTAACCTTCAAAACGATTGACTTTTTTTTCCTGAACAAAAGCCCAGAATAATCTATATTGAGGGAGAGCAGAAGTCAGTTGAAGTAGAAGCTACTGAGATTGGCGTGAGGTTCCTAATAGGGTAAAACGACTGAAGCAGTCCTATCCCTGAGAGGAGTTCCCTGTGAACAAGCTGTGAGTATTCTTCGAAGAGGGTGCTTTGACCTCAGAGACACCCAGAATGCCTTTTGCAGCCCAGAAAAACAGGATGGTTCCCTAGGTTACAAGTGGAAAAAGAGACATCCGCATGGAATGGTGCTGATAAAGTTGTACCTGAGTTGTAGAATAGATAGTCTTTGAAAATACCAAGTCAACATGAAAATTACAGTATTCTTGTTCCTAGTTATCAGGAAACCTAAATTCATATAATTGTTACAGAGTGAAAAAAAGAACAAATGGTGAAAGCACATTATTCAGATAAATATAAGATTATCTGGCAATTTGGTGTATTTGAATCTATAAAATTGGATTTTCTCTACTCAAGCATTTGTATGAACATCTACGCATAAGTGAAAACAAATTTTGGAAAAAATGACTTTCTAGATTCACTGAAACTTTACAACACTATCAGAAGTCAAGAATGGTTTTCTTAATATAAATGTATAGTGCTCGAATTGACGGTAATAAATGTGTATGTGTACATGTGCATGTGTGCATACATGCACACACGTGTGCTCGTCAAAGCAAGTCTACACTGCTGAAAACCAATGGAATGGTGTCCACATGGTATGTTCTTTCCCTTCATTGCTAGCAACCTACATTTTATTGTACTTTTCTCTAGAAAGAGTGTACACAATATAAATGTGCAGTTTTATAGTTGCTTACATTTTAAGGAGATGAGAAAAAGTAACATTTTCCCTTTAATTTTCTTACATAGTGAATGTAAGGGATATTTAATGGTAGTAAAAATGAATTTATTTCCTAAACTAACAAAAGCAACTTACAACCATCAAGAGTCCAACCAAAACACACTCCAGGACATTTGGTCATTTTAAAATAACTTAGATACTGTTTATTTTTTGACTTTATCAATTCATTATAAATAGCCGAAAACTTCTGAACATTTAAAGATGTTTTAAACATGGCTTGAAGTGGCAGAATTTATTATTATGAAATCCCTTTAACCAACTTATCATTATGTTTTCCTAACTTCTCCCCCAACCAAAGCAAAACAAAATCAGAAACAATGGGCATGAAAGGAAAAAAAGAAGAATCAAACGTGGTTAAGAGAAGTAAATAAACTAGACATAACGCTTTGATGTCTGAGTCATGTCATCCATACTAGTCATACTAATGCATTTTAGAAAAATTTTAGAAAATGTAGGCTATGTATACATTCAAGAAAAGTTTCTACAAAAGTATAGTTTGGGGGACGTTTCCTTCATTAGATAACAGAAGCTTTGTTCTTGTCTGAACCCCTACAAGTGACTCAGGGCATCAACAATAATATTCCCCAGTCTTTCTCTAGACATGAAGATGAACATATTAGTTAGCTACCCTTGATGGAGATAATTCTACTGGATCCTAAAGGGAGTTTTGGTACCAGGTTTCCTGAACTTGCCTTGGGAATATCTAACTCATCAAGGACTTTTAAAGATGGTTTCCTGGGCACAGGCATTGGGTGAAGTTCATTTTAGTAAGTCCCAAAATCCATTGGTGCTTTTAAGCCCAGAATAGAGCACTGAATTTTAGTGTCCGAAATAATAAAGTTAATTAACTTTCTGGGTTAAATGGACAAAGCAGTTTCAAAATAATGTGAATATTTGATTTTATTTAACTGAAGAATTAAGAATTAAGAATCCCCAGAAACATTTCTATTTATTTTTTGAAAAGAAAATAACTTTTATTGTGGTAAAAAAATATACATACATACATAAAATATACAAACGTTTACCATTTTAACCATTTTAATGTGTACAGTTCAGTGGCATTAAGTGCATTCACATTGTTCTACAATTATTGCCACTGTCCATCTCCAGAACTTCTTCATCTTCCCAAACTGAAACTCCATATCCATTCAACAGCTCCCCATTCCCGCCAGCCTCTGGCAATGGCCATCCTACTTTCTCTTTCTATGAATTTGACTAATGTGAGGACTTCATTTAAGTGGAATCGAAATATTTGTCCTTTTGTGTCTACTTAGCTCACCTAGAATAATGTCTTCAAGGCTCATCTGTGTTGTAGCATATGTCAGAATTTCATTGCTTTTTAGACTGAATGATATTCCATTGTTCGTACACACCACATTTTGCTTATTCATTCATCCAGCGATAGATATTGAGTTGTTTCCACCTTTTGGCTATTGAGAATATTGCTGTTATAAAGATCAGTGCAAATATCTGTTTGAATCCTTGCTTTCAATACTTTTGTGTATATACCTAGAAGTGGAATTGCTGGATCATATGGTAATTCTATGTTTATCTTTCTGAAGGATCGCCTTACTGCTGTCCACAGAGGCTGTACTATTTCACATCCCCACCAGCAATTAACTTCTCTCCAAGGGTTCCAACACCTTGACAATATTGGTTATTTTCTGGGATTTTTTTTTTTTTTTGATAATAGCCATCTTAATGGATGTGAAGTGGTAACTCATTGCAGTTTTAATTGTATTTCCCTATTGATTGGTGATGCTGGACATCTGAAAAAAAATAATTTTAAGGTTTTTTTTTTTTTAATTCCAATCAACACTAGAACCGGAGAGTTAAAATTTCTTTTTAAAATCTTTTCAGTTGATCTAATACTTTTATATTTTTAAAAGAAAAACTTAAAAATCACTGCATATTAAATTAAAATTTTAATTAAATTCACTTTATGGATAAAAGAGCATCACAATTGTTCTTTTGATCAAAACAATGGAAACATATTTTCTACACCATGTAAATTGCTAACTTACTATCTCATTTCCGGATTATATGAGTAGCAGATTCTCATTAAGTGAAAAAGTATTCTAAAATATGAAGAAAATGTGTGAACACCAAAAGAAACAAACAAGCTATCAAACAAGCAAATTATGGTATTGACTAAAGCAACAGTTGGACTGAGTATCAAGAAATGCCAAAGAAATACAGTGTAAATGTTTAAATTTAAATTTTTTAAAACTTCTTGAAGAGACAATAGCAATTTAAAGGGGCTGTGAGATGAGATAGTGTTCTCATTTCGAAGATCTTTATTAATCTTTTAGATAAATAACGGGGAACCTTGCTGGAAGGAGCATGAAGAGGGATGTTTAAGGCCAAAAATATGGTCTATTTGGAAAACAGATGGCTTGTAAAAATCAAGCTTTATGAACGGAGGTTTGTGGGAATTTTGCTGGTTGGATTTAAGATTTTTTTTCTCCCCTCTGAGTATTTCCATTTGATCAGAGAAAGCTTTGTGGTGATATTTCTGAAACTAGTGATTCTGATGCTGCCAGCCGAGGAGTTTCAATGGTTTTCTCTGAAAAGTAGTTTCATACTTCCTTTACCAAGACAGTAAATTACCCAAACAAAAGTAACATGTGTAGTTTGCTGGAGGCCATAGAAAGAAAGAGAGAAATGTGTTTGCGTAGCAACAAAAGACTGTGGCTTTATTGGCAACACCATCAAAGCTGATTCATCTGCTTGCCAAGGCAGTGTGAATCCACTGCAAGACGTGTCAAATGTGTTAGAGAAATGATTTTCCTGGAGCACCCACTTGTGGACTGTAGCTCTTGCTTCAAGCCCCCTGACTGAGAGGGAAGACTTTCTGTGATCGAGCAGAGCTGCTTTCCTCTTTTGATTTTTCTCCTTTTGGAAATTATGTATGTAAGTAACAATTTTGATTCTCACTGGTCAGTGATTTTTCCATGAAATCACTGAAAAGATTTACTCTGGAAACCCTCTCCTAACTTTCTGATTAACAACCACTTCTGATCTTAATGAGTTGGAATCATTTAAGATGTGACTTCAAGAATTATTTTGGACCATTTTAATCTACTGATGGACATGTTCATCAACTATTGCAAAGACATTTTGGAGAATTAACAGGGAATATTCCAACTTAGAGAAATTTCATCTCTGTCTCATGATATTATATGCTAAATGTATGAATATGGGGCAATACAAATACGCAAAAATCTTGTTTAGTTTCAAACTAAAGATTTTGCTCTATTTCTTAAGCTCTCATTTAAAGACAATGAGAAATTTAAGCTAAAGACTTTTGCTTGTGAAGGTAAACCTTTACAGTGCGAATCACTGAACATCTTGTTATCTGGTTGAGCTTGCAGCCAGCTAAAATGACAAAAACAAATTCACAGAACCCTGATTCAAGTTATAAAAGTCTTGACTTTGAAGGCTAATATAGTGGTTTAGATACTATAAATAATTCTGTGCTGTAATTTGTGTAATGTAATTCAGTGTCTTCTAACTTTTTTTTAAAATGTTATTCACTTTCTTAAGTAGTATAGAAATAGTCAGTGTTGAATGGAATTTACAAAACTAATACGCTCTTAGATTTTAGAATTAACAATAAGTTTGATAAATTTAGCAATGTTAAATAAATGATTTCTTTATTTAATATATTTGATATGGAAATATTTTAAGATATACTAGAGTAATTTTTGTGATTTTGATGTAGTTATATTTTCTGTTGGGTAGTAACTTAGCATATTTGCTAATATATAACAGTACTGGCCTACATGTTGTAACTGATTTGTACTGTATTTTTGCCACGATTTTTGATGTTACTGGATTCTATCACTGGGAGATGACATCTTAAAACAATTGTGGAAAATGCTCTTAAAGGCATAAAAATAGAACTACAACTCTTGGGCCAAAAGGATATCAGATGGCCATTTAGTCCTTTGTCCTTTATCTAGAACTTTGGACTTCTGGGCTTGGAGGGCAGGAGATGAGCCACTGAAGTATAGGAAAATGTTTATTTATATTTATATTTATTTCATCCTTTAAAAACATATTCATATTACTTTAAAAATATAGATCTTC